TTTTTTTTTAGACATGAATATTAAAAATACATTTAAGGCTGTTGGAGCATGCTATATTTTATATGCCTTTATACCAATAAGAAAAAGATTAGTTTTAATACTTCCCGATGTCCAATTTCAATTTTGAATATATGTATGAATTAATAAAAATACGTACATTTTACCACTGTACTGTGCTGTACTGAAACTATCGGTAGGCAATGAGTACAAATCGCATTTTTTTTAAACATTTTTTTCAACTTTTTTTAATCCTGGCACAGTTTTGTTGGAGGCAAATTCCGCCGGGGGGTCAATGCCCACCCGGCCCCTCCCGAAAACACGTCTATGATTACTATTAAAAACTTTAATATATTTAGAATATTTTAAGTAGACACAAGTAGATTTATATTTGGTAATGTGATCATTTTTTTATTACAGAGTTCAGATAAAGGATTTGTATGCCAACATGGACCTAAAGAATGCCGTGGTAACACAATACATAACTGTGTATTGAAACGTATTAATAATTCTAAAGCTCAAGTAGATTACGTCAATTGCGCTATGTATGATCCAGAATACCCAGGACACATCGAGAAAACGGTAACTCAAAGAAATTGAAGAAAACCGATAATAAACAATTTTAAATATAAAATGAATAGCAACGAGCTACATACTTAACAGTAGAGTTTAACTTGGTCAACTAATAATCGGTAACTAGATACCTAATCAAATTAAACATATTTCGGTTAATAAAAGTATTTTTTAATCATCCGATATACCTAGTGTTTAATTTCAAATGGAATAATCATATTTAAATTAAAGGAAGAACTGCCATTATGTGTTATACAATAAAATAGTTTCAATAAATTATAATTTAATTTTAAAAAATGAGTGTTGCACCATTAAAAATAAAAATGTTACCCATATTCTAGTGTGTCGAAGAAAGTGGCGTAGACGTAGAACAAGTTAAAGCATGTTACACATCCGAAGAGGGCTATCAGATGATGCTGAAGGCAGAAACAGAAACTAAAAATATGACACCTGGACCGCTGTTTGTACCAACAATTGTGTTTGATGACGTACGTTATTATTTTAAAAAATTTCGAATATATATATATATATATATATAAATCATATAATCACCAATAGATTAAGACTTATTAATTATTTATTGCGTTTTTCCATAGAAATACAACCTCGGCGATCAAAACCAGGCGTTCGCAAACTTCGAATCTACACTCTGTAAGAAGCTAGTCAGTCATGGGCATGTAAATGTGTGCTCAAACGGTGTGATAGTCAACCGGCAAACTTGCTAGACAATTTATGCATGAACTTTATTAATCATAGTATATATATTTAGCTGATAACTGATACTATACTGTTTATCTTATTACAAGTATATAGATTAAGATTAATTTTGTACATAAATATTATGTATGTTATTAAATCTTCAAACTTTTATATTTACTACACTTTTACACGGCGCTAAAATACAGGTATTAAAATATAAATAAGCTTTCCGTAATACATAAAGTGTGCTTATTTTTAAACTTACTTCCAAACGTCAAGCTATACCCAAAACTATAGTTAATTATAAACTATAATAACACTCACTCACCCTGTTATTTTAAACGCCGGTGAATATTTTCTGCATATATATTAGTCAATTTTTTTCTCATATTTTTAAGTTCAATTTTTTAAATTTGATATCAAAACACATATAAATTTAATATATTAAGGTTTATAATGTTACTTATACGAATTGCATTAGAAGTACATTAAAAAATGTTTTGCATTTATTTAACTTGAATAATATTTATATTGGTTTTTAAATATGTATTACATACGCTTTATAAGCGACAACTAACATAATATTCTTTTAATATAACATTTACAAATTAAAAGACATATTAAACAATATTTAACATTTCATATAAATAAAATACTTAAAATTTAGAACACCAATCATTGTTTAATGTTTTACCGTGTTTAAATATTGAACAACTAAAAATCAAAAAATAACTAATTAATATGTATTAGTTATTCGTTATAAATTCAATAAAAATATATATTGAAAAATTATAATAAAAAATAGATGTATCCACGAAGTTTATCAAAAACTACAGTATCATCAAGTACTCACTTGAATGTATGAACTGATGATTTAAGCTCAATTTTTTAAATTACTATTTGGAAACTAAGTCAGTGGTTCCCAAACTTTGTCAACTATCGGTGCCTTTTTGGATTTGAAATTATCTCATATTAAATCTGACGACCTTTTTTTTGTAATAAAATAAATAAGACTATATAAAATTACAATACTACATTACATTACTAAATAAATATATAATTAAAAGTTAATACATGAAACACATAGGTGCAGCACACAACTGTAAGACTCCTAGCGTGTTTTTAGATCACAAATATCTTAAATTATATTGATATATAAATATATAAATAATAAGTAGGTCCATCAAATACACTTTAAACATTATAGCTTGATTACACAAGTATAATAACTGATATTTTATCATTTTTACATTTAGGCTATTTCCAATATTATTTTCAATATTACGTTTTTTCAATAGGAATGACGATATTTATGAAATATTTAATATACGTTCAAATTATAAAAACAGTAGGTAATTACATAGGTGTATAAGTATTCACTACCCAAAAATGATTAAATAAATATGAATACTAGTGGTATGATGATTAAATCACAGGCGTGTTCGTGGTGACAGTCTAGGGTGAGGAAGTTGTAATTTTCGAAAAGCGCCAATAAACCGAATTTTAAGGCTAGATAGATTACGACCCGGGACCCAAACTGTAAATAAAATAAGAAAGTATAAAATATACATATAACAATTATACACTAAATACTGAAGATATATTTATATGCTTATAAAAATCGAATTATTAATTTTTAACCAATATGAGTGTGTAAGATATAATAAGTTAACGTGAATGCAACAGTGGCCACAAAAACGTTTATTTTTAAAACAATCGTCCCTGTGCGATAAATTTATAATAAAAATTAATAAAATTATAATATAAAACGATAAATTTATTATCAGTAATCGAGCGCGAAAATATTTGTTGGTACATGGATGTAAAGAATGGCGAAGGCGTGATATTCTAACTCCCCAGTCGTAATGTACCTATACAAGTATATATACTATATACTTGCACAGAGTAAAAGTTCAATGACACCATGAATCGACTCGTACGTTTTCCGCATTACCGTCCCAACAAATTGTTGTACCTACCGTGACAATCAACCGTCGTTTTCGGAATCACCGTGAAGTCTGCTACTGCTTCGGCGGTTCTTGGCGATTATTTGTACGCGACCATCGTATTAATTTCCGTATTGGCCGAGAAATCCAAAACCACTTTGCACGCGCACGTACGACCCCAACTCCTTGACTCCCTGTCAAGGGACCGAGAAATAAACGAAGAGAAAAAATTTACGCTTCCGGTAAAAAGAGAAAATTTCAAACACGTTTCTGTAACCGTGGTCACCGATGTCGAAGTTGTCCGTTACCGACGTAACCCGGTCGCATGGGTTTTGACGAGCTACCCGGTTACGGGCGCTCTGTGACCGTCAACGCGGTAGCGGTGAGCGGTACGCCGACGAACCGCAACACGTGTTTGCTGAAAGGGTTGCAAGGCTAGCGAAAACCGCGCGGAGAGGACGCTGACAGCTGTGCCGGCCCTACAGTGGGCCAAGCGGTGCGATCGGTAAGACCGTGACCTACCTCGACGTAGTCCTCGGAACTGCTCGGTCAAGGCGGTTCGCGGTCCTCTTCGACGCAAGGCGGCGGCAACCACCTCATCACTGCTGCTGCCCATCATCGTTTATGTTCATTCTCGTCGATTATCACACGTTGAATATTGTAGATACTGTTAAAATATCAATACGTTAAATACGCGTATTTTAAACACCGTAGGGCAGTGGTTCCCAAGCTGTGCACCGTGGTCTACACAGTTCATAACAAATAGTTTAAAACTTATAGAATTTGCTCTCCATATTATTCTCGTAAAAACTTTATAGCAAGTAATGTAATATTTTCTATTGTATATTCGGACGTTCTCATTTTAACCTAATATTATTTTTACGTGATAATTATAATCATAAAAAAAAAAAAACATTTATTTATTAATTTTTAAGTTTAAAAATTCATTAATTTATAATTAAATTGAATCCAAAAAAAGGCACCGCGGAAAAAAAGCTTGGGAATCGCTGCCATAATGTATTAGTTACCCGATCGCATAAACAGTTCGTGCACAGACCTAGACAAGTTAGTACAAGTCCCTAGACCCTTCTATAAGGAGGAGGGGGCGAATTTTATGTATGTATTCATATTCGGGTATTTTCTTAGTGTGATACATTAAATAACAAATATTTGAAGAAGAAAATGGCCATGGGTTGCGACTGCCCCATTCGAACCCTCTGAAAAGCAGTACCATCTTACGTTGTATGATATAGTTATGCTATGAAGCGTTTATAATGTTAATCGTTATGTATTCCTCTTTTTCTTTTTTGGGAACCACCAGTTGATGGTCTTGTGCGCTAAGTATCCACATCGCTATCATTCACACCGCTGTACAACAAATATAGGACTAAGTATTAATAAATATTTACACGTTGCTGTTGAATTAAACATTGAAAACACACGATTCTTAGTGTACCTACTTGACCCGTTTTGTTATTTTTCCGCATACCGGTGTAGTGTGTATAACTTAGCCTTTACAGTTATACATACTCATACATGCGTGTTTCAAACAATTCCCATTGACAACATAAAAATATCATTAAAGTTCTAATCTGTGTGTTGAAAAAAATGGCCACAAAGCAGAATCCAGCACATTTTGTTGTAAATAAATTGTCGATAAAAACCACAACATTTTTTTATTAAGTGGCGTCGAATCCTAATCGTATATTCAGATAGAGTAGATGCCCTATCTCATAATATTTCAGTGTTGGATGCATTTGTGCAGTTTCCAGTGGTCAGAGCAGCGAGTCATTAGTTATTGTGAATTATAAATAAATACGGTTGGAAATCAACTCATTGGTACACTGTCCATGTGATTAATCTTTAATTTTTTTTCTTACTATGGGAAAGGCTTGGACAACTGGGTCATTCACCTGCAAATCACATCAGTTTGTTTACATGTCTTTTTATCTAACAATATTTTTTATGTTATTCAAATACTCGTATTATTGTTAGGTTCTAAATTCAATCGTGGATCGGTAGTTAGGTCTCATCGTTTTCGGTGTATCCAAATTGGTTTCCGGATTGTTACGAAGTATACACCCCAATTTGGTTTCCAAGCTGTTACGAAGGGTACTTGTATCTGAATTGGTTCTCGAGTTCCCGGGTCAAAGCATTTTCAATTTTCCTTCCCATTTTGTACAGAATTTGGATTGTATACGTATTATGCAGGTATGGTTGAAAATTGTGACTTTTGTCGTAAAGTATGTCATTTTTATTTTCAATCAAATATACGAGTATCTTTTTTTTTATTTCATCCATTTTTATTAATTTATTTCATTATTTTTATATTGACCTAATCCTGTTTATATTAATATTTCCATATTTTTAGACTTAAGATTCTGTATTTGTCTGTAATTCGTAATTTTATATATGTTTCAATTTGTATTTTTTTTAATACACCGGTGAATTAAAAGGTTTTCGGATGTGCGGAATAGAAGCAACTGTTGAACTTCCTGTAAGACGATTCACAGCAATTAGTAACTAATCATGATATACAACGAACAACTGTTGTTCATTCTATACTACTTGTATATTCAGCCCACCTATATTTTTCAATATAATTTTCTATTATATAATCAAACACTTATTCAAACTTTTCATCGGTTTTATTAAAATCAAATTATTATTATAGCAATTACTAACTTCCTCTGGAGATAATGAGAACATGCCAAAAACCAAATGGAAAATATGTTTTATATATATAAATAAATAAATTTGTTATATTTTATTTCATCTTTTTCGATAGTCTTTATCGGGGACCAATTTAGATGTGTGTCACCTATCTAGAATATCGGGAATAATTCGAATGTCAATTTCCTGGTATGGGACCCCATTCGGATTATGAGAGCATGAAATTCAAATCCAGAATTGTTTGGTTTCGGTATCAATGCTTCTACACACATAATCATAATCAATCACACAGATTTATTTATTTGGGTCAGTTTGTTTTTTTAATCAATGCTATTAAAGTAACAAATAATATTTTGAAATTCTAAGCAGCTTCGAATTATAATAGTACTACTCATGCAATTGGTATTTTTTCAGACTATATAATACTGAATGATCAATGAACTATTTAAATAAAAACTTTGCAATGTTAAAATGTTAAATAGTCATATTTTTAAACTAGGAACCTACTGACTGAAAAATACATTTATATAATTCGTCACAGTAAAGTATGTATA